GACATTTAAATGTCTGACAAATAGATTATAGACTACTTGTTTTAAGAGTTTGGGGGGGAAATGAAGCTCAAATCTGTAGTACTTTGAAAGACAAGCACAATATTTGGTGTGCACAGCTTGTGGCACCCATTAAAAGCTTCATTAAAGCCCCCGTGACAAACTGCTGCTGTCAGGGACAAGTGATGCTGAGCACTCTGCAATACTCGATGGTGCAGTTGCCCACACAGTCATGATGACCATGTTTTCGTTCTGCTCCATCCTGAAAAAAAATACAGGCACCTCCTAGAACGTTTTGATACGAGTTGGGTCAGTTTTAGCTACAAGAGCCCATCAAACATTTACATGGAGGTGACAACTATGGGCACACTCACCACCCCAGTGCAAGAGCATCTGCAAGTCACCAGTGGAAAAAGAGAGCAAACCTTTGAGTAATTCCTCCCCACATTTACATTGTGTAACATTGTGAATGCATTAAAGCTCTGCAAGTGCCACTTTGTATAATAGAATTATTTTTATAAACTTCCTAACACAACAGTTGTTATTTCAGGTTTTTCAATATACAATATAGAAAAATTAATCTAAAAGAAGTTTGTGCAGTACTCTGCATAGCAGCTACACAGAACATAGAACTCTGATCTATGGAGAGTTTCCTTCATTCCCTACAGAAAACCAGCAAAGTCTTTTAATCTGAGTTATTCATTCCTTTGTGCTTCTCCTATTGAGCTTTAATTCTGTTCCATACTCATCACAGGAGAGGGAGAGTTCTGTGAACAGACACCCAAAGCAACAGGGTGCTCTTGTTATCTTACTGTTTCCCATGTCTGCTTGTTGAAAAAGGAGTGTGGTTCTCTTTCTTCCCTAATAACCTGCTAACTAATCTCAATATTTCTGGAATGTATTTATTGTTGTCATAAAGCAAATTTGCTCAGACATCTCCTTGCAATCATAAAAATCAGTACCAAGCTTCTACTTCTCTCTACAAAATTCTATTTCACAGGTAATACTTACTAATTTTTCTTTATTGGTTCCACTATTTCATAAGCCCAAAACTTACTTGCTATTTTCCCTTTTATCTCTAATAGTTTGAATATTATACCTCATTTTCCCTCCTTGGTTAATGAACCTTCAGCAACAAGAGAGGTAACAAATGAAAACACAGATTGTACATGCATTGGATCACCACTTGCAAGTTACTAGACTCACTTGCTATTCAAGAGAAAATTCAGGATAAATACCAGCTTTTCCTTCCACTTACAAAGTAATGGAATTTTTATACAATCAGTGGCAGTTGGGCATTTTAACAGGATTTTAACAGGATTATGAAGTTCAGCCAGCCCAGCCTGCCTGGCTTTCAGTGCAGTTATAGCTAAAGAAGAGTTTGAGATAATGTGGTGCTGCCCCATACCTGATAGCACTGGCTGCATTCCTGCTCATCTAAGTGGAACATCCTGTAAGTGTATGGCTTCCAAAATTTAATAATTCAACCCCCCCACCACCTGGTTACAGAAATTAAAGTCTCATCACTGCTAATGCAGAGCATTTTCACACAAGTGAAAAAGGATAAATAAGATTCACACCACATCAAACACGATGACAAACGTATCAGCACTCCACCTGGATCTAACAATTTTCTTAAGTTGTGCTTATAAAACCTAGCTCACGATACAGATCAAAAAAATAATTAAGCCATGCACTATTACTGCTGGAGCTTTCATTTCTGCATCCCCACACTTGCATTCCAGACTATAACTGATATTTTACCTGAGAAATTCTAGTTTGTGAGTAAAATTGAGGGTTTGCCTTATGAAGAGCACATTTATAATTGTGGGAAAAAAACCTGCCTAAATTATTTAGTCCAAAATCCCAGGGTGTGGGGGCTGTGGGAGGATGCAGGATTCTGCCAGAGGTACCTGTGTGCACAGGTGCCATCTCCTCCTGCAGCACTTCCATGCTGGGATTCAGCATCTCCTCACACAACCCACCAGCAGTGCACTCCAGAACAGCTTTGTCACATTCCCTGACCCCACATTTCACATCACACAACGTAAAGAGACAGCAGATTGATCTTCCTGACCGAGGGAATCTCTCCTCAATAATGTAAAACCACACCATGTGGAAAAAATCTCTGGTAGTAGTGTGGTAAAGTGATAGAGCACTTCTGTGTCCTTGGCTGGCATCACCAAGCCAAAATTTAAGATTGTCTTTATCAATAAAAGTCAATTCTTCAAGAATTTTCCAGAGTTTCTATGAAGTTACAACAGTAGATTTTTTTAATTTGAGGGAAGAAAAGAAAAAGAAAGAACTTACAGTTGTCTCTTGTAAAAACGAGCGAGTGCTTCACAAACGGGGCTCTGAGTCACATAACCAGCTGGGTCTCCTCGTGTTGCCTAATCAATCTTGATTTCAAAACTGGAAGAAAGAAAGAAGATAATTAGACTTGACAAACCCCAGAGAATTAAGCAAATTAATAGAACAAACAAGGATTGATCTAAAGGATGCCCCACAGGAGAAACAGATTCAAGAGCAAACATCCAGTGTCATAAATAGTTAGGGACATTTTCCAGTAATATAAAGTGATTAAAAAGTTCCAACTCTGTGACCAAAGATGTGAATTAAAAGCTTGAAAACACAGGCCTCAGTCCCAATGACATCTCTTCTTACTCATTTATCAGAGCTGTAGCCCTCTGCCCTCTCATATTTGTAAATAAATGTGATTTTTAATGTTTTTGGAGACGTGTGTGTTGTGACCGAGAGGGAAAGGCCGGTAGAGAAGAGAGGGGAGACATTCCCGTGGTTTTCCTTGCATGACATAACTTGGAAGGGAATAACTGAGAGGTCTGAAGGTCAGCACAGCGATGTCATGGTGAATAAGTGACATTCTGCCTGGTCTCATAAAAGATGCTCAGCAGGGTGCAGGCAATGACAGCTCTGCAAGGAGAGCCCTTCCTTGGACGGGATGTTCCATGTGGGAACACATCCCCAGCACCCCGTAAGGACAGACAAAAACAAATCCATTTGTCACGTTTTGGTATGAAAAGGGAACCCTTGTGCTCCAGCACGATGTCATTTTTTGATGCAAGGCACAGAATTACACTCAGCTCCTCTCGTGTCAGACCTCAGCATATGGCAGAGCCAGAGGGGACACTCCTGGGAGAGCAAACATCCACTCTGACTTGTAAGTTCCAGCTAATGATCAATTCATCACACCCCTCAGTAAATCATGTTTGGATTCAGCTTGCAAAAACTGGATTGTTTAAGGCCCTTTGAACACCATGTGAAAACATCTTTCATTATAAATGAGGATTTCCCTGCAGACACCAGTAGGACCACGTCTGCTTCATCTTGGATTAGCAGAAAGGAGTGAGCTTCCCACTAAGAGTCAGCTCTGCCAGGCTGTGCACGTCGTGGCCTTTATTCAGTCTCCACCTTGTGCCCAAATGAACATTTAAACTATCCAAACACACTGCAGTTCCATATTGCTGGCATTTGTAGGACTTGTTTTGTGTATAGCAACATCCCTGAAATATTCCAACTCAGGTCAGTTCAGTTTGGATCATTTATCTGGGACTTCCAGGACATGGACACCATTCCTTTGTAAACTGCATTTCGAATATCTTGTGAAGGTTCATGCAGAACACAGTGTCCAGGACCACACAATAACTCCAGACTCGCTCTTTCCTCGTGTCTGTGGAAACCAGTGGGGGCTGGGGGATGAAAAGATGGAGCAGCCCAGGGGAAAGGACTTGGAGGTGCTGGTGCATGAGAGGCTGGACATGCTCCAGCCGTGTGTGCTGGGACCCCAAACCCCCTGCCCTGGGCTGGCCCCCAGCACGGGCAGCAGACCAAGGGAGGGGATTGTGCCCCTGTGCTCAGGTGAGACCCCACCTGCAGAGCTGCCCCAGCCCTGGGGACCAGCACAGGGAGGAGCTGGAGCTGCTGGAGAGAGCCCAGAGGAGGCTCCAGGATGATCCCAGGGATGGAGCAGCTCTGCTGGGAGGAAAGGCTGGGAGGGCTGGGATTGTTCACCTGGACAGGAGAAGCTTTGGGGTCACTGAACTGTGATTCAGTGTGTGCAGGGCCTGAAGGGGCTGCAGGAACCATGGAGAGAGACAATTCCCAAGGGATGGAGGGACAGGAAAAGTGGGAATAGGTTCAGACTGAAAGAGATTAGGGTTAGATGGGATATTGGGCAGGAATTGTTCCCTGTGAGGGTGGGCAGGGCTGGCACAGGGTGCCCAGAGCAGCTGTGGCTGCCCCTGGATCCCTGGCAGTGCCCAAGGCCAGGCTGGACACTGGGGCTGGAGCAGCCTGGGATAATGGAAGGTGTCCCTGCCATGGCAGGGGTGGATTGGGATGATCTTTAAGGTCCCTTCCAACCCCAGCCAGCTTCTGTGACATTTAATGCCAAGGGATGCACAGCCTGGCACTGCCCCAACACAGGCACTGCCACTGAAGGAAGAACTCACTGAACCTGCCTGCTAAAAACAGGAACCTATGCAGGATCCAGTCTGAAATTCCAGCCTCAAGGCCTTGTCTATGAAAATACGACTTTTGGAACAGGTTTCTAACCAAATATTTATTATCAGGCTGTACCACCAGGTGGCAAGATTGCAAAAATAAAGGGATTTTAAAAATTGTTCCTATAACCCGTTCAGTCAGGGCTGCTTCAAGGACCCCTTGCTGGGCCATGGGGACTGCTTTGGGAGGACTTGGGTGAGTATTTAACATGTACCCACATGGGTCTGTAAAATAAAGTATTTTAACTTTTCTCTGTCACTCTCCATGTAGTCAACAGTCAAATGCAACACAAGAATCCCAGAACATGAAAAAGGAAATTGTGGCCACCAGCTGCACTTTTTTGAAGAACTTGGTTTTCCCACTGTTTTCCTCCTGCTCCCTCTTTCCCTGAAAACTAGTTTAATGTTTTCAAAAGAGCCTAAAGCCTGACATGACTGCAGGGAGCCACATAATAAATGGGAATACAACTCAAAAAGATTAATAAAATAACTTTGCAAAGGGAGAGCAAAGACTTTACACAGAGTGTCCTTAAAATCATTTGGGTATTTTTTTCCCATATATTTTCATTTCTCAGGTTATATCCCAATTATGTATAAACCAAGACACAGGGCAGTTCTAAGTTCTACCTAAAGTTATGCTATTGACACCTGAGCTCAGTTTAAAGGGCTGAATTTTATAATATATTATTTTACAGCCCATTTTAATTCAAAATTTAGGCAAAATATAAATCTCCAGTAACAACTTGGAAAACTCTCTTTCTAATGCCTTGGCCCTAGATCACAAAGGACACCATGTGAGCACCCAGTCCACATGATGTGATTTATTTACATCTACACACACACACAGAGATACATGGCTAAATAACAGGATAATAAAATATTAATAAAGCTAATACAGGTAACCAGACCAAGCTGGTGAGAAACTCTACCTGACCCTGAGATATGCAACACAAAAAAAACCCAATGATTCCAGAAATAGTTTAGGGACTTTTTCCTTCCATTTGTATCACTGCACCTGCTCCATAACACACAGCTACACTTCATAGATGCTTAAAATATTGTCATTATCCCTGGAGCTAGAAGAAATTAGGTAGGTGTAAAATAATCAGAATGTCAAGCACATTAAATGTCAAGCATAAATAAGAACCAAAATTGGAATCTCTCAAAGATGCTGGTACTCCCACAGTTGGGCAAAAAGTGTTAACTTCAATAACTGCCACCATTTGGGACTTGTATTATTACACAAACCACAGAATTCTCTGCCTTAATGGCAGAGAATCAGCTTAATCAGCTTGAAAGATGATTTGGCATAAGAAAGCAGAGGTAAATGTTATCCAAAACATCAAGAAAACTTCCTGTCCCAAAATAGATTTTTTTATTTGAGACTCTTCAATACAAAACACTCCAGGGTATTGAAATTAAAAAGAGAAATAAAATCTCCAAAAGACTTTGCAGGAGAAGGGAGGGATGAGTAATACACGAGCCTGTGTTACGTGAGATGGCACCAAAAATATAAACTGCAAAATAAACTGCCAAGATATGTTCCTTCAACCAATAAAACAAAATAACTTGTTCAATCAACTTTTAATTCCATAATCCAATCATGATGGAAATTAAAATCAAGCACTCTTTCCCCAGTGAATATACACTAACTAAATATTTTAAAGTGAAGATTCCTAAAAACTTAATTAGATTGGAAACTCTTTCAAGAGAGATTTGCTTTCATCTAAGTTCATACCATCCCAGCATAGAGTCAAGTCCAGAAATCAGAAAACTGTAGTGTTAATTAACATTTAAGCTCGAAAAAAATATATTAAAACCCCCAAAGCACATTATGCCATGCTCAGGGAGTAACACCTGAAATGTCCAATGAAATCCACACGAGTGTTTTGGAGGGGTTTTTTGTCCGGAATCAGCATCTCCTTTTCTTTCCACATCACCTATTTAAGTTTCTATCTGAAGCACACAACCAAAGCAGCATTACAGCAGATTCAGAGCTTGGGAATGGCTTTGCTTAGAGGGTTTCAGCTGAGAAATTCCCTGGGAAAAGTCTGTGACCCTGGAGAAACCGTGACCCCATCCCAGAGATGTCTGCATGGCCAGAACACGCCACAAAATGCTGAGAATTTATTTAGATATTGATGTGGAAGAGAGTCAAACTCTTGGACAGAGGCAGGATGGAAACTTTTCTCATCTCTGCTCATCCTTCCAGCCATGGGGCAAGAGCTCTTCTCTTTCTGGGAAGAGCTGGAACAGCATCACTGGATTGACATTGAGCATTTGGCCCCAGCCAGAGCCTCTGTCAGCCCAGGGGAGCAGAGACACTGATCTGATGTGCTGCAAGCAAGCACCAAGGTTAGAAAAGCCCCATGGAACCGTGCTCCTGAGGAGCAAAAACATTCCAGGGAGATGAACTTTAATCTTCCTTTAAGGCTCCAGAAAACCCCGTGCACGTCACACCTCCACCAGCATTTACTGCGCTGCCTTGCAGGTTCTTAGAGCCTAAAAGAAAACACTCAAACTCACCAACTTATCCAATTTTACAATGAGTTGATAGAATTAGGGCAAGACAGATTTACTCCCCTGCTTTAAGGAAAGAAAACTCTCTGCATTGTTTAGGACCACCATGCCAGCTTAAGCCTCTGCTTCAAATTCCAAACCAGCAAGAAAATACAAAGTATTACAGTATTAATAACTGGGGTTTAAATAGCCAACAAAGCCTTTAATGCATTCTTCTTTCTCTTATGAAATAGTAAGAAAATAAATAAAAAAAACCAAAATTTTATATGTAAAATGATAGGTGAGCACTCTTCCTTGAGATCTTCATGAAAATAACATTTTGTCTTCCTAGACAGTACTGTGATCCAGCCACAGACTCAGGCAACTGAAGTA